CAACAATCATATTCTGTATGTACTGATTATTAATACAAAAAAAAAAAAGCTATGCCTGTATACTGACACAAATGGATGTGAATTTAAAGTAAATACAGGGGCACCTGGCTGGCTCAGTCAGTAGGATATGTGTCTCAATCTCAAGGTCTTCCAGTTCAAGCCCCACCTTGGGTGTGGAGCCCACTTAAAAATAAATAAATAAATATAGTTTGGGCAGGGGGACAGGCTAAATAGGTGATGGGGATTACGGAGTCCACTTGTTGTGAGGAGCACCAAGTGACATATGAAGTGCTCAATCACTATACTGTACACCTGAAACTAATATAACATGTAACTGGAATTAAAACTTAAGAAAAAAAGCAAATATAGTTTTACATTTAGTAAATTCTCCTTTCTATAGAGAATATATATATACATATTTTTTAAGATTTTATTTATTTATTTGACAGACACAGAGACACAGCGAGAGAGGGAACACAAGCAGGGGGAGTGGGAGAGGGAGAAGCAGGCTTCCCGCTGAGCAGGGAGCCCGATATGGGGCTCGATCCCAGGACCCTGGGATCATGACCTGAGCTGAAGGCAGATGCCTAACAACTGAGCCACCCAGGCGCCCCACATATTTCTTTTTTTAAGTAAACTCCACACCCAACGTGGTGCATGAACTCATGACCCCAAGATCAAGAGTTGCATGCTCTACTGACTAAGCCAGCCAGGTGTCCCTACAGAGAATATATTAAAACAAATTCGGGGGGGACGCCTGGGTGGCTCAGTCGGTTAAGCGTCTGCCTTCAGCTCAGGTCATGATCCCAGGGTCCTGGGATCGAGTCCCGCATCAGGCTCCCTGCTCTGCGGGGAGCCTGCTTCTCCTGCCTCTGCCTCTGCCTCTCTCTCTCTCTCTCTCTCTCTCTCATGAATAAATAAATAAAATCTTAAAAAAAAAAAAAAAAAACATTCTGGGGCACCTGGGTGGCTTCGTTGGTTAAGCGTCTGACTCTTGGTTTTGGCTCAGGTCATGATCTCAGGGTCATGGAGATTGAGCCCCACATTATGCTCCACACTCAGCATGGTGTCTGCTTGAGATTATCTCTCCCACTCCCTCTGCCCCTCTGGCTCATGCGCTTGCATTCTCTCTTTCTCTAAAATAAATAAATAAATCTCTACAAAATAAGTAAATAAAAATAAAACAAATTTTAATGTTGGGTTATTTATGGGTTTGCCGTTCAGTTTTATTAAGTTAGTGCTATATAGTGCTATTTTTGTTGTACTCAGACTCACTAAAAAGACATTTCTTCAGCTCTGGTATTTGGGAACATTAGTTACTGCATTAGAAGTAAAAAGACAAGATCCGTATTTGGTCAGCTTCCTGCTTATAACTCAAATTCACACTTCACCTGCATCTCACTTTTTCCACATGAAGGTGGAGAAAAATAATGCAACAATGTTTACAAATCAATTGAGTGCCTCCAATGAAAGGTGCTGGGCAAATACAAATATCAGAACTGCTTAAAAAACCACCACCACCACCACACTGACAAGTCACACAAGTCACTTATCCTTCTGAACCTCAATGTCTCCCTTTGTAAACTGAAAGAAATCAGTTAAAATCACATGGGAGGAGATTAGTGAGAGAAAAGTAGGCATATGATAGCCGAAAAAGCATCCCAGGTGATCCTGATGTATACTCTGATGAAGAACCACTGAGTCCCATTCACAGTTTTTGGGAGGAGAATGATTAAGTTAATACAAACACCTTGAAAGGGCGGTGATTTGGCTATAGGTTTGAAAATTTTAAATGCATATATATCCTTTAACCCAGTAATTTCACTTCTAGAAATATATTGTTCAGGTAACTTCACACATGAGCTCCTTACAAAGTACTATGTACAAAAACATCCATTGTAACACTGTAATAGAAAAACCTGGAAACTTAAATATGGTTTAACCTGAAGACTAGTTACAAATTATGGTGCAACCCCACAATGAAAAAAGTAAAAAATGTCAACAGAAAGAATGAACAGCTTTATATCTACTAATATGGAATGATTTCCTAAATATGTTAAAAAGGAAAAAGGTGTGACTGGTATGTACCATGGCGGGAGGAATATGGATAGGTAGACTCATGTTTATAAAGGAACAGTGTCTATGTAAGGCCACTGAAACGAAACTCCAGTCATCTCTGGAGAGTTCAGGGTAAGAGGGAGACTTATTTTCCTCTGTGTTCCCTTTTATACTGCTGGAGTGTTTTCTCTTTCTCCCCCCACCCCGGCCCCTTTTCTGCTGGAGTGTTTTCTCACATGTGTTTATCTTTTCCTGAAACTGAGGATTCTCTCAAGGCCTCCCTCTGAGTCTGAGGCTACGATTCCATCTCTGTAGGGCCTCAGCATTTCCTCCAAATTGCAGGGGCATCAGCTTCTGGCCCCACACTGCCCCTAAATGACTTTTCCAAAGCCTAGTCAGCCCAAGGTTTCTGTCTTTAAAATCCTCCAGTGGCTCTCCACTGCCCAAACTTGAAAACAGCACATACAGCCCTGCAAGCTCACCCTACTCTCATCTCCCACCCTTCTCCCCTCTACCCAATCCAGTTGTTTTAACTTCTCCCGGTTCCCCAAGGACAATGGACTCCTTCTTTCCTATATCCTGTCTATGACACACAAACTCATATGCATCCTCTGTGACCCAAAGGCCCCCCTCCCAGGAAAGGAATGCTCTCTGTACAGCCTGACAGATGTTCTGGAACTAGACGGCCAAGATTCAAATCCTGACTATTCCCTCATGTGCCCCCTATATGGCCTCAGTTTCCACCCTTGTCAGATAGGAAAAAGCCTTGACTGTTCAAAGGATTAAATAAGATAATTCATGGAATGAATTTATTACACGGTCTCTCACAAGGCAAATAAAAGACAATAGTTATTATCATTATTACATTCCCATGGCACTTGTGAGGTATTTGTATTCACCTGTCCTGCATTAGACTGTGAGCTCCTAAAAGGTAAAGATTTGACTTCCATGCTTTTATGTTGTATCCCAAGCACTTCGCCTGGCAAATAGAAGGCACATGAACGCCTTTACTTAAATCAGATGATTGGCTTTTCTGGTTCTGAATTTCATCCAGATGGTAAACAAGTGGCTACAAGGTACCCAGGAACAACCTCCTGGATCCCACATGCCTTAAAATGCATCTATTAGCCAGGCCACTTGGGGCAGGCAGAGGTGAAGAGAGACCACAGGGCTTTGAGGCTTTCAGAGACAGTCAAGCAGATTGGAGACCATCGTGATAGGAGACCTGCCGGTTCCTGCCCGCTGACTACTTATGGGGACTGGGTGAGATGGACACGGGAGATGAGAAATCTGAGATATTAAACGTCCAAGATGTGCCAAAGACTCCAAGCAGGCCTTCAGGAAACACTCAGGAAAAGATTCTCTCAGCAAGTGGGTACCTGGTAAACAGAGAAGAGACATACAGGGGAAGAGATGGGATAGGACCTACAAGACAATGGAGAGGAAGAATCCTCTTAGCATGGGAGATGGAAAGGTAAACAAGACACAGCTCCTGGCCTCAAGAAGCTTCTCAAATCAGAAGGCCTTTAAAGACAGAGGTAGAGGGCGCCTGGGTGGCTCAGTTGGTTGAGCGACTGCCTTCGGCTCAGGTCATGATCCTGGAGTCCCGGGATCGAGTCCCGCATCCGGCTCCCTGCTCGACAGGGAGTCTGCTTCTCCCTCTGCCCCTCCCCCCTCTCATGCTCTATCTCATTCTCTCTGTCTGAAATAAATAAATAAAATCTTTAAAAAACAAAAAAAATAAATAAAAATAAAGACAGAGGTAGAGCTTGGCAGATAAGGGTGGGGGAGGAAAAAGGATCACACAAGCAAAGGCATCCAAACATGTGAAGAGGCAGTCAAGCAGCTCTGAATGGCTGGGGATGAGAGAAAGGAGAATTGAAGGATTAAGCTAAGAGTAAATTGAGGCAAGATCGTCCACGGCCTTGTATGACTTGATAAGACATTTTGGGCTTCATTCATCCCACGGGAAGAGGGAGAGCGAGGAGTTTTTAAGTAAACAAGTGACAGCATCAGATCTGTGTTTTTTGAAGGAGTGGCCAGGCAGGAAGATGTTCGCCCATCTTCCACCCTCAGTTCTCTCCTCCCCCACCATCTTCTGGTTCTAGGCTGCCTTAAGAGCAAGCAGGTGGCCAATGAAGACATCTCCTGGGAAATGTGACTGGTTCTAGAGCACGAATCCCCACCCTAGGTAAAGGTTTCTGAACACATTTATCTCGCCTAAGGAGGCTTTGAACATTCCTCTTTTCCAATCTTACAAACATCATCACCGAGCTCAAAAAAAAAAAAAACAAAACAAAAAAGCCTCAGCTCTGCCATTATTTTTTTCATCTTCAGGAAATACAATTAGGAACCAATTTTCCAAAAAACAATATTCTTTATTTTATTTACCAAAAGTAAAAAGGAAAGGGATCTGCATTCCCAACTGGCTCATTCCGAATTCTGGGCGGCTCTGAGCCCCTATTTCCCTTCTTAAGCAGCCTCGACAGTTGGGAGTGGGCGGAAAAGAGAGGCGCCTGGGCCAGGGGCCGGGGGGGGGGGGGGGCGGTGGTTAAAGGAAAGAAAAGTTGGTCTCCGCAAGAGCAAATTTTCTCATGCCGGGAGTTTTTCTCTTTCTTCCCATTAAATGGACCTGAGCAAATTCTGTTCTCACTGTTCCAAGTTTCTTCTTTCAGAATGAACTATGGCAGCGCCCCGGCCTGGCCCCAGGAGGACGCACGCAAAGTTCCCGGGCAGGCGAGAGGGGTCGGCGCCCTGTCCGGCACGTTTCCGGGGACCCCCGTACGGACAGCGCAAGGACGCGGGGTCCGACTGGAGCCGCCTGATGGGTTCTGCCCGGAAAAGAGGGCCTGGGGCTCCGGCCAGCGACCCCTCCCACCCGCGCCCGGGAGCCGCCCCCCCTTGCGGAGCCCACCGGGGCGGCGGCGGCCGCGAGCACTCACCGAGTCCGGCGCTGGGCGGGACCGCTGGGAACGAGGACGGCGGCTCCGCGGCGGCGTCTCGGCCCGCCACACGCCCTCAGGGCCGCCGCCCGGCCCGCGGCTCGGAGCTCCGCGGCGGCGGCGGCGGCCTCGCCTCCATGGCGAGGGGAAGCGGCTGAGGGGCGACTGGGCGGGCGGCGGTGATGGCGGCCGCGGCCCAGGGTCCGAGCTGGCTGGCGCGCGCGTCTCTGTCAGCGCCGCACTCGCCGCAGCCTCGCTCCCGACCCGGCCTTGGCTGTAAGGTGCGTCCTCATTGGCGGTTCAGAGACGGGCGCTGGTTGGCCCACAGCGAACGGGCGTCTCCCGGCCCTCGCGGGCCCCGCCCTTGCGCGCCTCCGAGCTCGCGTTCGCACGCTCGCCTGAGGCGCTGAGCCGGGTCTCACGGTCTCTCTGGCTCCTGCGCCGCGTGGGCGGTGTGCGTGCGCCCCGCGGCAGCCGGAACCTTGGGGAAGCGGGACCCCGGGAGCGCTGACCTCCCGTGCACCAGCGCCGTCCGCCTCTACAATCCCAGCCCCCTGGACGTGGGCCTTCTTCCCAGTTTACAGATGAGGAAACTGAGGCCAAATACGAATTACACCAATGTCTAGAGACCAGGACTGCCTGGAACTCAAAAGCTTTCCCCCCCCCTCTCCAAATGTATTCCTTTCCGACTCCCTACCCCGCCCAGTTGCTGCAAGGTATTCAAAGGACGTAGGCTCTCTTGGGGAGAGGAACCTGCGAAGCCCCTAGAATGATCCTGGCACCGTAGGTGTTGCCTTACATCAAGTCAGCTCACGCCATCCCCACCCAAGCCCCCAGGGAAATCTCTCCGGCTTTCTAGATACGCCTACCAGGGCCTGGCTTGCCATAGAGCCGAGTACAAATACGACACAGGGCGCTCTGCGGTGGGGGTGTTATTTGCGATAGGACAGAGGGGAGGGGAGGTTCAAAGCACAGAGGACCCGGAGATGCGTCCCGCCCCTGGGGCCGGGGTCGGGGTCGGGGTCGCGCGCGGACCTCTTCCCCAGGGCTCCCTGCCCTACGTGTGGTGCCCCAAAGCTATGCGTAAGTCTGTCCCGCAGCTGCGGCTCACCCAGGCTATGGGACTTGGGCGTCCGGGGCTGAAGGCCGGTTACGCGGTCGTGGTGGGTGGCGGGTGACACACTCTTGCTGGTTGTGGCCCCCACACGAGGTCCCTCGGACGCTTCGGGCCCTGCTCAGGGCGAGTGGTTGGGCATGCATGCTGGAGACAGATTGCACAGCAGTGTGCAAGCAGGGTTTCCTGGGGGGACCCTTAATCCCGGACGCGGAGTCCGCGCCGCCTGCGGTGGGTGGTGCGCCCCAGGGGAAGTCTGTGGCCGGCGGCAACTCTTCTTCATGACAAGGGGTGCCTGGGGGTATATTTTGGTGCAGAAGGAGCCCACATCGGCAACTATTTCCTCGGGGTTGGTGCCCCTATCACCTGCAGTCCCCACCACCGCCTGCAGTTGGGGCGCCAATTTAGGACTTTATGCACTCTCCCTTCTCATTTGTGCAATCAGCGAGTGTCTACTGAGCTGAGCCAAGGCCTGGAAATACAGGCAGCGGTGGCCTCCTTCAGGCTGGCCCCTCCCAAGCAGGGAAGTTCCTTCTCTAGCCGGAGTTGTGTCTCTTGCTTTCAGCAGCGCCAGAGGGGTCACGAAATGGCCAAACCCTTGGCGCCTCTGCCCGAGAAACACTCCAGCCCAAAGGCCCAGAGGCCACATGCTCAGTCTCTTGTTAGGCCAAGAGCAGCCAGTGAGGACAGGTTCTTCCACACGTTTCCCAGGAAGTCCAAACTCAATCTGTCTGCACACCAAAAGGAAAACGGAAAAGCCTGAACTCAAAGCGTTTAGAAACCCTGAAAAATAATGACTATAGGTGCAAGAGGTACCTGGGTACCTAGGGTAGCCGTGGCATCTTAAGACCAAATCCCACCAGCTTAGTTTTGCTTTCTCTACATCTGCCCTATTATCTTAGTATGCCTCTTTTGGTTGATATCTTTCTTTATAGTTTTACTTATATTACCATAAAAATGTTTGACATGCTACTTTTATGTTCTAACATATGTGAAAATAACTATTAAAAAGTGTTGGGGCACCTGGCTGGCTCAGTGGGTAGAGCATGGGACACCTGATCTCAGGGTCGTGAGTTTGAGCCCCATGTTGGGGGTAGAGTTTACTTAAGAAATAATAATAATGATATAAAAAGTGTTCATCCTCAAGATCATCTGGACACACCCCCGCGCGCGTGTGTGCGCACACACACACACACACACACTTGATGTGGCCACACTTCAGAAAACACTGCAGGTTGGGTGTGGGAGTCAGAGAGCCCTGGGGTTCAAGCCCTGCCATTGGCTGGGTGACCTGAAACTCCCTCTGCTACTCTTCCTGGAACCTCCCAGCCTCTGGACTGAGAATTAAAAGCATGTACAGCTTGGCAAGTAACCCATTCTCAGGAAATGCAGTTCTTTCTCTTCATGAGACAGCAGCAATGTGGTCAGAGCATTTGTGATGTGTGTAGGGGTGAGAGAACCTCAGAGCTAGGAGAGGCAGGGTCTTGGGTACCCCATCCTGGAGACTCTGGGAAGGAGTTCAGCTTGGTAACCACGCAGACCGTTTCCAGTGGGAGAGAACAGAGTCCCATCCTCATCTGCCCATGTGTGGAGAGCTGCCCAGCCTCCCCACGTCACCTGATGCCCAGGGTTTCCACACTTTTGCCCATCACCACAGGGCAAAGGGCTGTCTTTGAAGAGGACAGAATAAGAGAGGAGGACCAAGGCGGTGGGGAGGCAGGCTTTCTATACTCAGGCCCACCCATGTGGGAGGCTGAAGCCCTGCTCCCAGTCCTGCTTTAAGTCCAGCTCACTGGAGCATATACCTACAGATAGGCATTTGTGAGCCACGCCACAGGTGCCCCAAGGAGTCACAGGGTTTATGAGAAAAGGACTGGACTGAAGAAGAGCTGGAGGATGGGGGTAAAGGACTCTTGTTTCATTAGGTAAATCACTTCCCCTCTCTGGGCCTCTTTCTCCATCTAGTAAATGGAACAATGAATCATTCGCTCAACAAATATTGAGTACAAACCATGTGCTGGACACAGCAGGGAATAAGACAGAAAAGGTCTCTGCTCTCAGGAATTTACATTCTAGATGGGAGACAGACAATAAACAAACAAGTGAAAAGAAAATTTCCTAAATGCTGTAATGAAAATAAAGCAAGGCAATAAGATAAAAAATTGGAGTAAATGAGAGCCAAGTATCTTTCCAGGCCACTGTTCTACTTCCAAGGGTAATTTGCTAGAGCTTTGTACCTAAGAGATCGCAGCCCCCTTATCTTGAGAAGGCCTTTGACTGACTCTCACTCCAGGGCTGCTATTGATGATATTCTAAACTAGAAGAATGGTCCCCCAGTCCTTATCCTAGCCTCTAGTCACTGAAATTCTGAAGTATTTAGAGGGAAGTGTATTAAAGACTGCAACTTAGTTTGAAGTCATCAAAAATAAGGTGGATAAGTAAGATGAATAGAGGGATGGAGAGATGTGTGATAAAGTAATATAGTAAAATACTAATGGCAGAATCTAGGTGGTGGGTATACAGGTGTTCACTGTAAAATTCTTTCAACTTAGCTGTATGTCTGAAAGTTTTCGTGATAAAATGTTAGGGGGAAAATCAGGGTTTAACTTTACAAAAAAGTACACTGCCTTTAATTTTCAGACAACTCTCTTGTTGGACCACTCTGCTGATTTCTTTTTTTTTTTTTTTTTTTTTTTTTTTTTTTTAAAGATTTATTTATTTGACAGTGAGAGACACAGCGAGAGAGGAAACACAAGCAGAGGAAGTGAGAGAGGGAGAAGCAGGCCTCCCGCCGAGCAGGGAGCCCGATGCGGGGCTCGATCCCAGGACCCTGGGATCACGACCTGAGCCGAAGGCAGACGCTTAACGACTGAGCCACCCGGGCGCCCCCACTCTGCTGATTTCTGAGATAGAAGGCTGATGGGCTGTGCCTGTGATTCCAAAAACTGGCCACATTGCCAGTTCTATACACTCTTCCAGAGCCTCGCCTCTCCCCTACCAAGAGATGGAGTCGATCTCCACTTGAAATGGGGTGGGACTGCCCTAACCAACAGAATGTGGCAGGTATTGAGTGGCCCTGTGCGACTTCCAAAGCTAGATTGGGGAAGGCAGTACAGTTCTGCGCAGCTCTCTTGGGATGCTGCCCTTGGAACCTGGCCGCCATGTTGTGAGCTCTGCTGGGTTGTAGGTGCCCTGGCCAACAACCCCAGCTAAGGTTCCAGTCAACAACCAGCTTCAGCTGCCAGACTTGTGAGTTGCCAATCCTTCCGATGATTTCAGCCCCCAGCTATCAAGTCATCCCCCCACCTTTGAGTCTTCTAGCTGATGTCCCAATTATTGTGGAGCAGACACAAGCCACCATTTTATCCTGTCCAGATTCTTGACCCACGTAGTAAGAGGTGAGCATAATAAATGGCTGTTTTACAATGTGATGTATATCCCCTTGGAAGCTATTCAAAGTTACAAATCAGGTGGAGGAAGAAGAAAAAGAAACAGCTTACCAGGCCCTGAGTCTCCCACTCTTTTCAGGCACTCATTTCAAGTCAACTGTAAAGGCATTAAGAGGGGAAAACCAGAAGCTCCAGGAAGGCCTGCCCTCCCTCTGGGCTTTGGTTTCCTCCTTTGTCCTCCTTCTAGACGAAGGGCGCAAAAAGAGGAAAAGGAAATGCCCTCAGTGTTGGGTGGGGGCACGGGCCATGAAGTTCACGTAACCGGAGTGTACGCTGAAGGCCAGAGATGGACATCTGCAGGGCCAAGAAAGCACTGCTGCTGATGGGGATGGAGCCTCTGTTCGGGGTCAGGTAGAGCCAGGGGTGGCTCATTTGTAGTTCTTCCTTGGCAGAATTGAGATGTTCCATCCTCCTTTTCTCTTCAGCCCCGAGACCACGTAGGAGTTGCTCACCACTGTTAGGTGGGCGTGGTTTGTGAAGGCTCTTTCTCTAACCCTCTAACACGCCGGCCACACTCTCATCGGCCCTCCAACCCTTACTGTAGTGCGAATGGGGGCCTTGCCTCAGGCTCCTCCACTCAGAGGGCCCGATTTCAGTCATCCCTCTTCTGTCACAATAGCTGAGGAGAAGCTCTGAGACCCCCACAAGCGCCATCGGGTTTCAAATCTCAGTTTTGCCATATACGCCCTGTTACCACACCTCCTCAGTCCTCAATCTCCTCTTCTGTAACATGGGGCGATGTTACCGATCTCACAGGGCTGTCTTGTGGAATAAACGAAATAGCAATGGTGAAGTGTTTAGCATGGTTCTTGTGTGTATGTGTATAATGCTTTTCAGATTGGCTCTTGATGGGCTGCTGCTGGAGTTCTGCACAGCTCCCCGTAATCTTCCTAGGGGCTGGGAGCTTAGTTACAGGACTTTCTGCGGTAACTGTGGAGAGGGGCAGGTCTCTTGTAAATATCGCTGAGGAGCTCCCCCTCCAGCCCCAACACAATCAAACACACAGAGTTTTGCTGAAGTGTCTGGATGGTTCTGCCTCCAGCATGCTTTCGCTTAGGCTGGACTGCATGAGACAAGTGCTCTAAAATGTCCCAACTTTATTTACAATCAGACCCCCGGCTCCCACCCCACCCCAGCTCCTAGGTTTAGCTCAGCTCTAAAGAAGCTGGATAAGCAGTGACGCTTCTGCCAAGCCTAGAGCGCAGGGTGACGTAGAGGGTGAGCCCTTCACTTCTTCTGGGCTTGTGCCCTAGCCCGCTGAATCTTGTCGGCCGTGGCCGCGTCTGCCGTTCCAGTGCAGTGGGACAACACAAGAGTCAGCTCTGCTTCGTTCCGGTGCTCAATGGCCACATCTGCGGCCTGAGCCACATCCCTGTGGTTTGAGGAGGAGGGGAGAAGGTGTCAGGCTGCCCAAGGGCACAGACCGTGCCCCTCATCAGCACCCTGGCTCAGCCACCCAGCACCCACAGGGCTCTCAGCCGACGCACCCAACGAGAAGCAAGGCCTTGACCTTCTGCTCAGGACCCACGCGGGAGGCATACTTCTTGGCCTCATATTTGTTGTGTTGTTTCATGCAGATCTCGACAAAGGGCTTAGGAGAAGTTGGGGAGAAGGAGAAGATAAGGCAGCGCCTTCCTGTCCTCTCTCTTATGAGCAAAAGCCCCACGGACGCATGGTCCCTGTGTATTTCATACGCCCTTCAGTGTGCATAATCTCGCCCCACCCCCGCCCTGACACACATACAACAGTTGTGATCTCTGCAGCCTCAGGGCAGGAACCACCTATACCACAGATCTGTTAGAGCCTTGTCCATGCTGCCACTCCACCATCTGAGGCTACCCTCTCGCAATAGGAGTCCCTTGCCTTCTCAGGGCCTGTGTTTTCTCTCACGGCTGCCCTTATCCCACCTATCCGACACACCACTGAACCACCTGCCACAGAAAACAATCCCCCTTGGTCTCGTCCACTGCCTCCCGAACATGCCCCCCTCAGTGCCCTTCCACGCCCTACTTCCATGAGACTTTCCCTTCGGCACACGGTGCCCACAGTGGGCCTCCTTGAGGAGAGCAGCTCATTCCTTCTCTGGCCAACATCTGTGGGCTAACTCGGGCCCACTTGCCCACAGACCTAGCCCACGAGTGTGTTAACTATGTGGGAGGGCTGAATAGATGCAGGAATGGGCCATCTGCCTGTCTCTGGGCCTGGTCCCCTCCCCAGGACTACACCCCTGGGCGTGGGGTCCACGCAGGGCCCCTGCCTCACCAGGTAGCCAATGGGCGATTTCTTGCTCTTAGAAAACTTCTCTAGCTCCTCCCAGTCTTCCAGATCCGCCAGGGCGGTCAGCTTCAGCCACCAGAGCCTGCAGGGAAGCTGGGCTCGCAGGTGTTGCGGGGCCGGAGGGCGGTCCCAGGACCTACCCGCGGCCCAAGCCTCACCTACCTCTTGTCCGGAATGCGGAAGTCACGTGCCAGCTGCTCTGTGCGCTTGCTGTGGCCGCCGAGGACGAGGGTGGTGACCGTGTCGTGCAGAGACAGGTCCACGAAGTGGCCCCCCAGCTCATCTTCCAGGCGCCGCTGCAGCCGCAGGAGCCGCATTTGATCCTCCGTGGCCTGAGGTAGAGATGAGGCCAGATGGGGTCGGACGGGGCCAAGGGACAAGGAGGCAAGACCGGAGCAGAGGAGGTCCTCAGAAAAGAGTAAGGCAAACCTTGGCTGCGAACTCATTCTTGGCCTTGTAGAAGGCGTCAGCTGCCATCTGCAGAGCCGCGACTCGCCCCTCGATACGCTACAGGGGCAAGCAGGGAAGCCTGAACTCACAGCACCAAGGACATCAGCCTTCCCTACTCGGGCTACACTTCTCTCCCCGGTCCCTGCGCCCAGGGTCGCCAGGGCCAGCTTTAGCCGCTGGGGGCACCACCCCAGTGTCCCTAGTGGGGAGGCGGGCTCCCCCGGGACCGACCACCATCCTGGCTTCATATCTTCTCAGACTCTCCCGAAACAGTGAGGACCAGTTGGGGTGTGTACCAGATAGGAGGCCCAGATGCCTGGAGAAGGAGCCCCACCAGCAGCCCAGCCCACAGGCCCCACCCACTCTGTGGACCTCAGACCTCCTCTGCAGCATAGCTGGCTCGGATGTGGAAGCTGCCCAGCTCCTGGTGGTTGTCATCCTGATTGTAAAGGTCCTTCAGTGTCTCTAGCTCCTGATGCTTACAGAACTGGGGCCATGGACAGGCAGTCAGTCAGCAAGGCCAGCTCAGGGGCTCAGGAGATTCCAGCCCCACCCCTGCCCAGGGCACACACCTGTCGGTACAAACTCAGGGCCATGGGCTGGTTCCGAAGAGTCATGAAAAAGTCTCCTCGGTTTAGCTCATTCTTCAGGTGCAGCAACACCGTGAACACTAAGGAACGATAAGGTGGTGTGGGGACTTTGGCCCGGCCCCGTGCTTAGCCCAGGGGTCCCAGCCTTGCCCTCTCTCAAACCCTGCTCACCCAGATCAGTGTCTCCACTCTCGATGGCCTTGCTCAGTGCCAGTTTGCTTCTCTTCATCTTTAGGAGAAGGGGTACCTGCTCCCCAGAGCGTGGCTCATACTCCAGCAGCTATGGGGTGGGGAGAAAGGCACAGAGAGAAGGAGCTGGACTGGGGGCCTCAAATACCAGTGTCAGAGCATCTGGGGAGGGCTGGGCACCCACACCTTGATGGCCAGCTCCGTGCGGCCACAGCCATAGGCCCGCGCAGCAATGTCGGAGTAAGAGACGCCTGGTGTGTCTCCCAGCTTCTGGTTAATGGCCCGAGCAACATCCTCGTCGGACACATCCTTCTGTTGCACCTGCAGATAGAGGGTGGTTGTCACACACACCTGGATCTCACCCTTCACCCCCCTGCCCACACTGGCCCTGGATCAGGACTTCCCCCTTCAGCTCTACACTTCGTATTTCCCACAGCCCATGGGGGCCTGGAATCCTCTAAATGACTTTGAAGCTCACCCTACGTCCTCACCTTGTAGCAGGCCCAGTGGGCCAGGATCCTGCTGACGCCCTGCACTTCAGGAAGGCGCAGGTACTCACAGATCTGGATCGCCAGGGGGTAAAGCCTCCTCAACACCAGCCTGGCAGGCAAGGGGATAAAACATATGGGGGTGAGGTGGGACAGAAAGAGAGGGCAGAGTGGCCCCAGCCTATAACTCGGGCCTCCCAGCTCCCAAAGAAATGGGTGAGCAGTGACCACAAGAAGCCAGCAGGGGCCGTACCACCTGCCCACAAAGAGCCCTCCTCCCACAACCCTGGGGCTTACTGTACCTGTCCAGCAGCACCTGGATGGTGAGCTGCTTGTATCTGCATTTTACCTGGTTAAGGATCCAGCTGGGGTATGAGCCCTATTTGCCAAGGACTTGCAGGCAGCGTCTTCAGCCCCATCCCCTTCCCCCACCGCCACTGACCGTAAACATCCTCGCAGCTCGTTTGAGGATACTGGCTATAAGTGAGAGGGATCCCAATGTGGTAGTCCCGAATGGCATTCAGCACACGCAGGTCCTGACACATGCGCACGAAGCTGTCAGGTGGAAATCTGTCGAGGAAACACTTTCCAAAGGAGGCCGCCTGAGAAGAGCCAGAGGGCAACAGAGGAGATCTTACCGGTCGCCCCACCCCTCCTTCTAGGGCACCCGCCCCGCCCAGCACCCACCACCCAGCCACTCTGGCCAGACCAACCCTGAGCAGACTCTTCTGCATGTCTGGCCGATGCTCATGTCCCGCAGCCTCGATGCACTGCTGCACGGCCTGGGTCAGCTGCCCCAGCTCCTGGATCTCCCGTAGGTACTCATCTGCCTTCTGGCTCTCTTTCTAGGGGGTGGGGGAGGGTGCCAGGGATGGGGTGATATGATAGAGAACACCCCCATGTCTGGTCCCCCCACACCTCTGGGCTGTGGTTCAAATGGGCTGGTATGGAGGGGCTGCAGAGGCCAAAGCCCAAACTCCCTTAGCCCACAGTCTACCCAAGGTACCCATACATCCCCTGCCATATCCGCCACAATTGCTGGCAAGGAGCCTTGATGGTAGCCCGGACTGGTGCCTGGGCTGGGCATAGTAGGGGTTCCCTGCACCTCCCCATCACCACAGGGAGGACACCATGTCACTTCAGTCTACCTGAGCTGGCTCTCCCCAGCCCAGTGTCCTGCCTGGATTCCTCTCTTGACAAGTGGCACCTGGCTGAGTCTACCTTGCCCAGCCAGGGGCATGGGGCTGAGCCAATTAGGAAGGGGAAGGAGAAGAACATCCTGGGATCCAGGAAGAAGCCTAGGGCTTTACCTCGTACTCTTTCTGGGCCTCCAACAACAGTGCTCCAGGGGCCATCGAGGCAATTTTGAAGATCTCCTCGCTGGCCACTAGGAGAAAGTGTTGGTGAGTGTTGGGAGGGCAGGGAATCCTCAGCACTGCCTCAATGCCCTGATCCTGCCCTGGGTCCCATGGTATCCTGTGAGGGCCTCACCTGGAACCTCATGCAGGAACTCGTGGGTGCTACAAGAGAAGATGCGGACCCCATCCAGCTCAGGCACCAGGTAGGAATCTTCATCCAGCACAAACCCGAGCTTGGTCAAGGTTCCCAAGAATACCCAGAAATGGGGCGGGGCAGGTGACCCTCCCTCTCCTCCTTTCCCCTCCCACTCCCCTGCAGGCAGCCCTCCAAGGATACTGGATGCTCTCAGGTGCGTCACCCACCACCATTAGCCGCCTCTCCCAGGCCACCACGACAGCCCTCTCTTTGCTCCGAGGACGGCTGCACCTGTGGGCAACATCACACAATCTGGGACACATACAGGACCCTGGGCCCACAGACACGTCTCCTACCTTCCCACATCACTGCTTACAGCCGGCGTTGGGACAGCCCTGAACATGTGTGCTACCCCTTATCCCGTTCCTCTGACCAACATCTGCTCCCCTCTCCCCCTGTGCTGTCAGCTCCCAGGGGCATCTGGGGCCCACAAGGGGACAGGGGTTTCCCTCAAGTATGCACTGGCAGAGATGATAAAATGCAAGCTCCACCTGGCTTGGCCATTAGACAAGATGAATGAAGGTGTCCCAGGAAACAAGGCTGCGCCCACCCCCAACATAAGACCCCCATCCTCACCAGACCATCTGCTTGGGGGGGGCCCGGATGTTGCAGTTGAACTCACACAGCTTCTCCTGAAAGGGTGCAGGGAACATCATGGCCCTGTCCCGGTAGTCACCAGTCTGGTTAAAAAGCCCTTCCCCTACTGCTAACAGATCTTTCCTGGACAAGGTAGCGTGCCCCCACGTTGTCCCAGGATCACACCTTGAGTGATGCCGTCCCCATCCAGATGTAGCCTGTGTCTGTGAAGAGTGCCAGATGGCGGTAGGTGAAGGAGACTGCCATCTGCAGGAAACTGCTCACTCCGGGGGCCAGGCCAGGGGGCGTCTGGGACAGGCCAGGGAGGACACCAGATGTTTTCTCGGAGCTTCCCCCACTGCCTCCCTCACTCCCTTCCTTCCATTTCACTCCCACTCAGGGCCCTCACCACTGCCGAGCAGGCTGCATGGTCAAGGAGGTAAAGATCAGGCCCCACGGCCAGAAGAATGTGTGCAACTCGGTCCTGGCACAGTGTGGTCCAACACGAGGGTGCACTCTGCAGACCTGCGGCCGGGGAAGGGGACAACTTCAGGACAACCAGAGCCCACAGCTTCTGCCTCTCTTGCTGGACCCCCCCACCCCCCGGGTCTGGAGGCACGTCTGTGGGCGCTGAATGTCTGTCTCAGGAATACCAGGGCTCACCCGGCACCTCCGGCATCCGGCGAAGTTTGAGATCACCCACATTGGCGCTGAGCGTAAAGCGGTGGGCCCCAGTGAGGATGGCCACCCCCGAACCAAACTCAGTATGGAAGATCCGGGCGTCTAGGACCCGGTTCTGGAGCACCTCCTGGGGAGAGGGGCCATGAGTTGAGGGAGCCAGAGTCCCAGACTCCATCCCTTTCCCCAGTCCCCTGCAGTCCCTACATTGCCCATGCTGAAGTGTCTCCGGAAGTCGCCATGAAGCCCATAGACCAGCACTACACCATCTTCCTGCACGCAGAGCAGCTCCTCCTCAGCTGACCAGCCTAGGGACACCACGGGCCCACTCTTCCACTGCAGAGGAGACGGAGGTTCCTGAGGCTGTCCTTGGGACACAGACCCAGCCTAGCCCCCAGGGGGGGATCAGGGGTGCTCACCAGTAGACTGGCCAGAGGCAGGCCAGAGGCAGAGAAGATCTCAAGCACTGGCCGTATGCTGGCCGCCTTCTCCTTCCGCCACGGGTTCCTCAACAGTGCTGTAGTTGAAGAAGAGATTTTCTGTCCAGTTCCCCAGGCCCACCCCATATGAAGCAAGCTTCAGAACCAAAATTTAAAGCATCTTAGCAGGGGGTGAGAAATGGGGGGGAAGAGGGGTGGCCACGTTAGCAAGAACCACCTGACAGCAAGGACTCCAGGCATCATGCACCTTGAGTTCACCCCATTGTCCCAGAATATGCAGTGGCAGAGGGGTGACATACCAATGGGGCCCCCATAGGGCGCAGCGGCTACCAGGCAGTCCCTGAGTTCCTCCTTCAGGTCCCAGTCCATGCTGTACAGCTCATACTTCCTGCCCACACAGAGGCAAGCAGAAATTAGCCTCCTCATGACCCTGCGTCCAGATGGATTGAGCCCAGAGGAACCCCTAAAGCCTCCATTTGTCCTTCACAGGGCAGGCAAGGCCCCCCACAGGTGGGAGAGGGCAATGACTAGAAACAGCTCGGGCAACTGACCACATGCATGCTTAGGGACAGCAGGTGATGGAGCAGAGGCTGTTGGCAGGGCAGGACGTGGTTCGTTGGGCAAGTGTCCGAGGATGGCAGGAGCTCCTGGCACAAGAGACAGGCTACTTGGTCAATATCCAGGGCATAAACTAAGGTAGGACTAGGGTGCGGTGGCTGGCTTGGGCCTCCATTAGCAGGAAATCAGACCCTCTAGGGGGGTCTCTCAGGGCAGGCAACCTTTCTTCTATTTCTGGTTTTTAACACCAAAGCAGGTTGTCCAGCCAGGGGTCCCCCTCAACGCTTGCCGATAATGATCTCCATTTTAGAGGCACTTAGTTAGCAGTACTTGAAAGAAATCCCAGAGGAGTTCTTCAGTGACTCCAGAGCTGGGGGGACAGAGTCCTGGGATAGAGATGTCAATCTCTGAATGCTCAGCTTATGGGAGTAACAGAAATCACAAGCTGGCACGAGATGACTGCAATCTGAGATGGGCGTGGGTCGCCAAGAGTGTGTGTGGCATGAAGATGGAGTAGGAGGCCTGAGGCATGCCATCATTTGAAGGCTGGAGGTGGGGACAAGGGGACGGAAAAGGAGTGGGCCTTATCCCAGGAAGCCAAGAGAAAGCAGTGTTTAAGGGGAGTGTTTCCTCCAGTATCATTTCCGGAGCCTTCCTGATAAGAATCAGAAAGATGCCTACCATTATCTTCTATTTGACATTCTTCTTGGGGTTCTAGCAAAATAATTTAAGAAAAAAAATAAAAAGAGGTTTATATTTCGGAGAAGGAGTGAGTTTGCTGCTATTCACAAATAATGTGATTGTCTACTTAGAAAATCCAAAGCAGGCTATGGAATAATGAACAAAAGAGCTCAGGAGAGTGATCAACAAAAACCTACATATTTTCTATACTGATAAATTTTATATATCATAGCAAGAATCAATTAGAATATGACTTTAAAAGACCCTAATCATGATGGCAATAAAAGAAGAGATAATAAAATAAAATAATAGAAACAAGATAATAATAATAAATATATTATATATATATATAAACAAATAATAAAAAATAAAAACAAGAATGAACCTAACAAAAGTTTTTACAAAATACAACCATGGGGTGGGCGGAAAGAGAAGTGACCCAGGAAACAGACTCTTAACTATAGAGAACAAACTGAGGGTGATGGGAGGGGAGAGGGCGGGGGGTGGGGCTGGGGTGGGGGGGTTGGTTAAATAGGTGATGGGAATTAAGGAGGGCACTGCTGAGATGGGCACCAGGCGTTTTCTGTAGTGACCAATCACTAAATTCTATACCTGAAACTAACATTACACTGTATGATAATGAACTGGAATTTAAATAAAAACTTGAAAGAGGGGGGCGCCTGGGTGGCTCAGTTGGTTAAGCGACTGTCTTCGGCTCAGGTCATGATCCTGGAGTCCCAGGATCGAGTCCCGCATCGGGCTCCCTGCTCGGCAGGGAGTCTGCTTCGTCCTCTGACCCTCCCCCCTCTCATGTGCTCTCTCTTTCTCTCATTCTCTCTATCTCAAATAAATAAATAAAATCTTTTTTTTTTTAAAGATTTTATTTATTTGACAGAGAGAGATACAGCGAGAGAGGGAACATAAGCAGGGGGAGTGGGAGAGGGAAAAGCAGGCTTCCAGCGGAGCAGGGAGCCCAATGTGGGGCTCGATCCCAGGACCCTGGGATCATGACCTGAGCTGAAGGCAGATGCTTAACAACTGAGCCACCCAGGCGCCCCAATAAATAAAATCTTTAAAAAAAAAAAAACTTGAAAGAGGGACATCTAGGTGGCTCAGGTCATGATCTTAGGGTCCTGGGATTGAGTCCCTCATCGGGCTCCCTGCTCAGCTGGGAGTCTGCTTCTCCTTCTATCCCTCCCCCTGCTTGTATTTGTGCTCGTTCTCTCTCTCTCTCAAAAATAAATAAAATCTTTAAAAAAAAAAGAAAAAAAAAGTTTTAAAAAAATCAAATCAAATCAGTTTACTCAAAGATACAGAAAACCTGGAGGAACATTCCAAACTGATCTATGAATGCATGAGAACTCCAATAAAAACCACTCCCAGGGGCACCTGGGTGGCTCAGTTGTTAAGGGTCTGCCTTTGGCACAGGTCATGATCCCAGGGTCCTGGGATCGAGCCCCACATCAGGTTCCCTGCTCCGCGGGAAGCCTGCTTCTCCCTCTCCCACTCCCCCTGCTTGTGTTCCCTCTCTCACTGTCTCTCTCTCTCTGTCAAATAAATAAATAAATAAAATTAAAAAAAAAAAAACACAAAAAAACCCCACTCCCATCTTTGGGGGTGGGGGAAGCACAAACTGATTCTTTTTTAAAAAAAAAAAATAGGCTCCACACCCGGCATGGGCCCAATGCAGGGCTTGAAATCATGACCCTGAGATGGAGAACTGAGCTGAGATCAAGAGTCAGATGCTTAACTGACTGAGCTATCCAGGCGTCCCAGCACATACGGATTCTAAATCTCACTTGCAGAAAAAAAAAATCATTTTAAACAGAAAATGCTGAAAAATATTTTAAAATATTTTGAAAATAAGAGAACAGATATATGTCAGATATCAAATACACAATATAAAACTAAAGTTAATTAAAACTGTTGTTCTGGCACAGGAATAAGCAAATAGATTGATGGAAGAAGAGGCCAGAAAAAGAACTGGGAATTGAGCATGTAATAAAGATGGCATTTCAGATTGCTGCAAATGGATACTTGAAATGAGACAATGGGCCATATGGGAAGAATTGCAATAAACACTATTTCATTACTTAATCTCTACAATAAAATATTTTCCAGATGGAATTCAAGATTTAAATGTTAAAAAAAAAAAAAATCAAGCCAGGGCACATGGGTGGCTCGGTTGTTAAGCATCTGCCTTCGGCTGGGGCGCCTGGGTGGCTCAGTTGGTTAAGCGACTGCCTTCGGCTCAGGTCATGATCCTGGAGTCCCGGGATCGAGTCCCGCATCGGGCTCCCTGCTCGGCAGGGAGTCTGCTTCTCCCTCTGACCCTCCCCACTCTCATGTGCTCGCTCTCTCTAGCTCATTCTCTCTCTCAAATAAATAAATAAAATCTTTAAAAAAAAAAAAAAAGCATCTGCCTTCGGCTCAGGTCATGATCCCAGGGTCCTGGGATTGAGCCCCACATCAGGCTCCCTGCTCAGTGGGAAGCCTGCTTCTCCCTCTCCTGCTCCCCCTGCTTGTGTTCCCTCTCTCGCTGTGTCTCTCTCTGTCAAATAAATAAATAAATAAAATCTTTAAAAAAAAAATCAAGCCATATAAGAACAAATCTTGGCTATTTTTACACTCTCAAAAGAGAAACAATTTCTAAGCATGATATATAACCCAGAAGTCACAGAAAAAGAACGAGTCTAAATAAAAAGGGCTTCTAGGGGCGCCTGGGTGTGGGCTCAGTCGTTAAGCGTCTGCCTTCGGCTCAGGTCATGATCCCAGAATCCTGGGATCGAGCCCCACATCAGGCTGCCTGCTCAGTGGGAAGCCTGCTTCTCCTTCTCCCACTCCCCCTGCTTGTGTTCCCTCTCTCGCTGTGTCTGTCAAATAAATAAATAAAATCTTTAAAAAAAAAAAAGGGGGCTTCTGTACACTTCTATATAAAAAGGAGTAAAAACAATATGTATGTTTTGTATTTGCTTCTATTTGAAAAACAAGAAATTCTGGAAAGATTTCTAAGAATCTAGTAACTGGTGACTGGTAGGTGAGGGGGTGGAATCAGTTGAATAAGGACAGGGACAGAATGAGACTTTGAGTTTTTAAATCACATTACTGGTTATTTATTAAAATGATTAACATTAAAAAACTTTTACACATTAAAAAAAATCCATGGAAAACAAACTAGGAAAACAAATAATGAAAAGGGAAAAAATATGACACATGTGAAAAGCAGGTACTTTTCTTAAAAATACAAAAGGCTCTAAGAAATTTTTTAAAGAAGATTTTATTTATTCATTTGAGAGAGAGAGCACACAAGCAGGGAGGAGGGGCTGAGGGAGAAGGAGAAGCAGACTCCCTGTTGAACAGGGAGCCCACCTCGGGGCTTGATCCCAGGACCCTGGCATCATGACTTGAGCTAAAGGCAGATGCTCAATGGACTGAGACACCCAGGTGCCCTGGCTCTAAGTAATTTTTAAAAATGAAAATAAAACCAAAAGAAAAATGGCCAAGGGCTATAATCATACTATCTTATGTGAAAATATTTAGAAACTAAACAAGAGTGACTGGGTGGCTCAGTTGGCGAAGGTGAAGCGCCTGCCTTCGGCTCAGGTCATGATCTCAGGGTCCTGGGATCAAGTCCCGCATCAGGTTCCCTGCAGGCAGGGAGCCTGCTTCTTCCTCTGCCTGCTGCTCCCCCTGCTTGTGCGTGTGTGCTCTCTCTCTCTGACAGATAAATAAATAAAATCTTTAAAAAAATAAAAATATAAAAATGAATACGTGTCAAGTGACCTACATGAGAAGATATTTGTAACATTTCTAACAAAGGGTTAATATGGAGACCATGTAAAGAGCTCCTTTTTACACCAATGGAAACAACACAATGGAAAAATAGTCAAAGAATATGAAGACATACCTAATGACTATGTAAATATGAATTTAAATTATTTTTTATGTTTTGGCTATCTGACAAAAAAATAAGGGGATAAGAGCATCCAATATTGCTGAAGATGTGGAAAAATGAACACTTTCACACATATTAGGTGGGTGTATAAATTGGTTCAGCCCTTATGGAAGAAAATGAAGTGCTATTTATCCAACTTTTAAATGTGCAGACCCTCTGACTTAGCAACTTCCTTCTAAGAGTCTAACTTCTAAAACTACTTGCACAAGTACACAAAGGTATGAATTTATTGCAGCACTATTTAAAATAGTTCTCTCCCTTGGGCGCCTGGGTGGCTCAGTTGGTTAAGTGACTGCCTTCGGCTCAGGTCATGATCCTGGAGTCCCAGGATCGAGTCCCGCATCGGGCTCCCTGCTCGGCAGGGAGTCTGCTTCTCCCTCTGACCCTCCCCCCTCTCATGCTCTCTCTCTCTCATTCTCTCTCAAATAAATAAATAAAATCTTTAAAAAAAAA